GGAGAGAGTATGTCTCCTATTTCTACAGGTATATTCATTAACTTGTATCTTTGCCAGCAGGTACTGTGAACTTGATTTAGCTTGTTACTGCGTTCATGTACTTTGTTGTTTTATACTATTTAATGCCGCATCTGTACTCGAGCTATATGACGACGGGCTGTAGTTTATCGAGTCTGGGTCAGACAAACCAGTGATTGAAGAAAATAGAACCAGCGTCCTGTTTATTGATACTGATCACGCTTCATACAGATATTGATACACCTGTACATGTACCTACAAGGTAGTGCTGTACAATAAGCATTCTTTATTCTTGATTCGTGTACGTACGCTCCAATTCACTAGTTTTTTGGCAATCGAACTCAGTGTCGGTCGTTTAAGAGAGCAATGAAATCAAATGGTACTATGCCATATTTTCGGACATCCATGGCTATTAAGGTTCGAGGGTTGGCGGTTCCGGTCCGAGGCTATCTCGAAGATGATACCGCCATTGAAATATCAGCAGAACAAGATACTCGTCCCAGCCTCGAGGGTATGATACTAGGAGATAAAGCACCACCTGGGTGATAGCGGAGCTGGTGGGGGAGGGTTGAGGAGGTGGTGGGGGTGTAGGGAGGGGGTCACGTAACCTGCCATGTGGGCCATGTTAACAGTTCGCTCACACGGCAGGAATTGTGGTGGTTGCGTCATATGGGAGCGGTGCCGGTCGGGGATCTGGGACACAGTTATATTTGCGGCGTGTGAAAACCTGCACATGTGTGTTTGTTTAAAGCCAGGTTTCAATACTGATGGAACATACTGACTTGGTGATATAATGCTGTGACAGATATAGTAGGAAGTTGTTACTGTGATAGATGGTATTGAGGAGAGACTTCGTAAATTATCTTTCTATTCATCCATCCATCCATCCAATCCATCCATCCATCCATCCATCCATCCATCCATCCATCCATCCATCCATCCATCTATCTATCTATCTATCTATCAATTTTCTGCTTTAACTTGCATTTTTTTAAACGGGCCTCATGTACACGATAATCAAATTATCAATCTGGAAGTTGGGTAAAATAAAACTACACAACATATTGTACAAATCCCCATAAGATTAAACTGGTCACATTGTCATGATAATTAAAATTAAGAATCTGATAAATGGGTTACACAGAACACTATAATTTTATGTATGATTATATATCAATATGTGTTGTTTAAGGCTCAGCTGTGTGACGTCGGTTTGTAAAAAAATGAATCCCGACAAGATAATCCAGTGATTAATATCATGAGCATCGATCCGCGCAATTGGAGTGCGGTGACATGTAATGAATCAAATCTCAGCCCCCGTCGCCTTTTTATGACTTTTAATGTCATTAAAGTATTACATCTGACGAAAATATTTTTGTGGTCGAAACAGATCTTTTTAAATCACTTCATTGGTTTTTATGAGTTTCTTTGTTCCTCCGCCACTGCGAGCTGGAACCAGCGATCATATATACTAAAAGTCCCTTGTGGATTGACGTCGTAGTTTATTGACAACTCATTTCCTTGACATTGCGCATACTAAACTGTACAGCGGTCAAAGATGACGACGTACGCTTTAAAGAGTTGCGTCCCTTATGCGGTCCAGAATCCTATGGTTCGAATCCAGAGTAGCTCTGATATTGCTTCTTAGTTTTTCAGTACCATTCCCGTGCTCGTGGCATTTACAAAAATGGTAAACATCGCATATATCAATCTCTTTGGGATTCCCCTCACATTAAGCTGATACTCCATGAGGAATACCCAAAAGCCACATGAAGGACGGTCTTGGACGTCTTATGTGAAAACCACAAATGTGGTTATGGTGCTCAAACATCAGACATCGTAATCCTAAATCAGGCCGAATCTGGGATTCGAACCCAGGATTCTGGCACGACTAAGGGACACAACTCTAGAAAATGCAGTGCAAACCCCTAGCACTTTGATTTCCAACCCATTGTCTGCAGTAAAAGGCGACTATGCTTGTCGTAAGAGGCGACTTACGGGATCGGGTGGTCAGGCTCGCTGACTTGGTTGATGCATGTCATCGTATCCCAATTGCGTGCATCGATGCTCATGATGTTAATCACTGGATTGTCTGGTCCAGACTCGATTATTTACAGACCGCCGTCATATAACTGGAATACTGCGGAGTGCTTTGTTAAACAACAAGCAAACAAACAAACACCCCATTGTCAAAGAGTTACGGCGCCATAGACCACAGGTACGACCTTGCTCCAAAGGATTTCCAGGAAGATAACACAGCCATTAAAACATTGGCCATAACTCGGTCCGTCTACTCTGGCGAGGTCTTCATCTTCAAGCCTCCTCTCAGTTCCCTATCCTAATATTATTACCGTGATGAAACGCCTTGGTATTTCCGGAGCTATAAATACACTCATTATAGATACCTAATTATCAATACCATTATACCCAATTGGAGTTCATGCACTGGAATCTGCAGCACACAAGGCCTATGTACAGACGCTTGTGGTGTAGCAGCCTACAGCAGATGTTTAATTTTATAACAAATTCATAATGAGCCTCAATTCGAGAGTTTTCCCCGTTAATTAGCAATTAGGAGAGTCTGATTACCTAGTTCTTATGAAACCCTGATAAGAACACAGAGAAACCGGTGGCCGCGAAATATCAAAGGGGAGACAACTCGTGGTAAAATTTGACAACGATTTACAGTATATCGCAAAACAGTTATCATGTGATGATAAGACATTTGTATTGGGGCACGGGTGGCGCTGTCCCTTGAAGCGCCTTTTTTGGCCATGCAGTGATGTTCGACGTACTTTAAATGAGCCAGACACCTATGATCGTGGGTTCGAATCCCATATTATCTTTCTAGGTTTGTCAGCACCAGACCTCTGTTAAACGTCTAGGACGTGCATAACGTTAACGTTGTCGTAAGAAGCGACTAACGGGATCGGGTGGTCAGGCTCGCTGACTAGGTTGAAGCATGTCATCGTATCCCAATTGCGTTGATCGATGCTCATGATATCAATAACTGGATTGTCTAGTCCAGACTCGATTATTTACAGATCGCCGTCATATAGCTTTAATATTGCTGTGTGCGGCGTTAAACAACAAACAAACAAACAAAATACAAAACAAAAACTTAACGACCTAAGATCATAATTCACTTCTACATCCGTTTTGGTGTAGAACATTATGAGTTGTTTTTCAAATAAAGTAGAAACGATTTAAATAACATTTGGCTCTCGGTGTCACGCGTATCTACTGGCACTGTGACTAATCAACACAAAGCTGAAAAGTGTAGAAAGTTATAACAACTTGAAGTCTATTTCCTATTTAGCTGAAGCAATTTTAATCGTCTTTATCACGATGACCGTTATAGAAATGGCTCACTGGTGCTTAGATAGTGTGAAGTGTCGGCTTGGAGATGGCATTTCTGCTTGAACACCTGACCATACTTGGGGTAGCATTAAGTTTGAAATGTTTGGGATATTCCCACGTCTTGAACATGTGTGTGTGTTTCCAATTTACTTCCGCCATTCCGCGCGTGTCTGTGAATGTAAATATCCCACTCCACGTGCCCTAAAATCTCGCGCAATTCATGCAACACGGGAGCATGCGCGGTGCCAGTCAGAATGTGCGGACGAAGCGTGATAGGTCCTTAGGATTTCATTACATTCAAATATTTATATACTCTACAAGCAAACGTTGATTTGTGGGCATTGCAAGATAGATAAGAGTCAATTTAGTATTCTCCTTACTAGAGAATGCATTTAAACTAAAGCTTAGCAACAACAATTTAAATTATTTTAAATTTATATCTTAGTTTCGCTTGATGATCTGATTGTTTAATTTAGTTTAATCCTGCTAAGAGGCCACATATGATATATACCACTTGAAATCGTCATCGTGTCATGATTTGCCATTGTGTTTTGGGGGATAGCCTTATTCTCTTTTCAAAATGGATAGGGGTAGAGGTGCGTATTTTAATATCCCCGTACCCAAATTATCAAGAACTTGGTCAAACATGTAGAGATCCAACTTGTTTCAAGATTTAATTTCTGCATCCTTGCCACAGCTGTGCTGCTCTTTTATAAATGAATATATGAGCCAAAGGTCAACTGACCAATTGTGAGTGAGTGAGTGAGTATGGTTTTACGCCGCTTTTAGCAATATTCCAGCAATATCACGGCGGGGGACACCTGAAATGGGCTTCACACATTGTACCCATGTCGGGAATCGAACCCGGGTCTTCGGCGTGACGAGCGAACGCTTTAACCACTAGGCTACCCGACCGTCCCTGACCAATTGTGAAACTGGACAGATCACATATGAAGAATTCAGGATACGAAAAGTCTTTCTTGATTAACGTTTAGAAGTTCAGGATGACGAACACGTACCGGAAACAAACTGAACTTTAGGTTCATTGGTCAAGGATAAAAAGATATTCATAACGTCATTGAAACTTTCACCCGTGAAGATCCGGGTCAGAATAGGTCTACAGCAATCCATACTTGCCGTAAAAGGTGACTATGCTTGTTTGTAAGAGGCGACTAACGGGATCGGGTGGTTGATGCATATCCTCCCTATCCCAACTGCGTAGATCAATGCTCATGATGTAAATCACTGGAATGTCTGGTCCAACTCGATTATTTACAGACCGCCGAATAGCTTGAATATTGCTGAGTGCGGCGTTAAACAACACATAAACAAACAGTAATGTAATGCGTCTCTATCAACATTTAAGACAACCCCTGCAACTTTGTTTTAAAATCGGATCAAGAGCAAAAGTGTCGAAAGAACGTTACCATTGTGCGGAATTAAACAACAAACAAACAAACAAACATTAATAAAATTATATAACCCCCGAGCCATAAGTATGTACCCATTATTAGGTGTTACGTTATTTGATAATCCTGCCGGTTCCACTGGTCAAGGCCACGTGTGTCTCTGTATATTTGTTATCATTTGAGGTTTGCCTGACCGGTGTCCGTCTATTGCAGGACGCTATGAAGCTGGCCATGTTGTATGGGGACCGCCCCGTCCAGGCTAGGTGCCTACTGACCTTCGCAGACATCCACAGGAAGCGGAACGACCTGGAGGTGCGTATTGGCCGTATTGGTTGTCCTTGACGTACTGGTCGTCCATGACGTATTGGACGTACTACAGGTTTTTTTTCTGTAAACATATCCTCCAAGTGTAGTATGTTTCCACAGCTTCGTTTTGAGCCCTATACGAATGATATATATATATATATATATATATATATATATATATATATATATATATCTGTGTGTGTGTGTGTGTGTGTGTGTGTGTGTGTGTGTGTGTGAGAGAGAGAGAGAGAGAGAGAGAGAGTGTGTAGCTGCATGTGATGATAAGACATTTGTATTCGGGACTCTGGTGGCGCTGTCGCTAAAGCGCCTTTATTCGCCATGCAGTGGTGTTCAACGTCCTTTAGGTGAGTCCTACACCTATGATCGTGGGTTCGAATCCCGTATTATGTTTCTAGGTTTGTCAGCACCAGACCTGTGTTAAACGTCAAGGACCTGCATAACGTAAACGTTGTCGTAAGAGCCGACTTACGGGATCGGGAGGTCAGTCTCGTTGAAGCATGTCATCGTATTCCAATTGCGTTGATCGATGCTCATGATGTCAATCACTGGATTGTCTGTTCCAAACTCGATTATCAACAGATCGCCGTCACATAGCTGGAATATTGCTGAGAGCCGCGTTAAACAGCAAACACACGAACAAACAAAACAAACAAACTTGTTAGCCAGCCCAGTCTCGATGTTTTACAGGCAGCGGTAATAATATGGGTGACATCGACATGAAACAACATGTTTGCTGTTTGTTTGTTTGTTTTTTAACGCCGCAATCAGCAATATTCCACCTATGTAACGGCGGTCTGTAAATAATCGAGTCTGGACCAGACAATCAAGCATTGTGGCCTGTTCTGACAACCAAAGGTTGCTGAAGAGCTTTTCGAACCCGGATCTTCACGGGTCGAAACAAAATAAAGGTTATCCGACGGTGATATATTTAATCCGGGTAATATAGTTGTGTTTTGGACCACAAGTGTGCAGTTTTCGCGACTCTAATAAGCCCAGTAAAGTTTTGAAAACGTTTGTAATCTTTTGGTAAAATCCAATTTTCAAGTGTATACTTTCTTTTGTATGGAAGTTTTTCCCGCCTCGGTATCATCGGACCAGACAATCCAGTGATTGTCGATTGATGTCATGAACATTGATCCACGCAATTGGGAACGATGGCATGCATCAACCAAGTCAGCGAGCCTGACCACCCAATCCCGTTTGTCGCCTCTTACGACAAACACAGAAACTATTCTTATACGACAAGCATGGGTTGCTGAAGACCTATTCTAACCCGGATCTACACGGGTAGGTGAAACAACACCCATTCACATACATGAAAATACTTTTGTATACAGGAAACCGAATTAAATGTTCCTTTGTGGTTCTGTACATTTGGTTTCATCTTGACATGATTCTGTATGTGTCTTTCCAGCGAGCCAGCCCTCGCTATGAGTCGGCGTACAGCATCATGTCTGAGACAGGAGACCGTCTGGGTCAGGTAGAAGCCCTCAGTGGGATGGCCAAGACAGCCACGAGTCAGCGGGACCTTGCCAAGGTAAGGCGGTTATAGTTATGTCTTGGTTTACGGATCCACTGAGATTAGGAATGTCGAATAAAATACAGTTTAAGCATTTTTTTATGAACGCCGAACCTGAAAACGAATAAATTGTTTCCTTGTTTGACGGGGGCACGGGTGGCCCAGTCGTCTAAGGCGCCGCGATTCGCTGTGCAGAGTTGCGTCCCTTGGGCACGCCAGAAACCTATGATTGTGGGTTTCGAATCCCGGTTCGCCCCGATTATGTTTCTAGGTTTGTCAGCAACATACCCGTGCTCTTGGGTTTCACCGAACTGGTAAACGTCTGAGACCTGCATCACTTCGGGCTTTCCTACCACAATAAGCTGACACGCCGTGATATAACTTGAATACTGTTAAAAGCGGCGTTAAACCCAACTCACTCACTCACTCCTTGTTTGACTGAGAAAAGTCGTAAATGTTCAGTGACCCGTAACTGTTTGCTCAAATACTATTCATGGTTTCACCTGCTCTCTAAGCAGTGTGTGGTGGTGTTCCCACGTGAACGCTTTAACAGTTAGAACATCCATTAATATTTGATAAAGATGATTATATGAAACATTTTATTCATTATTGGATTGTTTTGGTCTCAACCTACTGACTCTATTTCTTTCAAAAATACTTGAAGAGTCAACTACAAAAGAACTGTTTGGACCGAAAAATTACAACTGCTAATCCAAACCCAGCCCGACCACCGACCCCCCAACACACACACCCTAAAAGTTATATTTTGTTGTTCAACGCCGCACTATTCCAGCTTTTAAACAGCGGTCTGTAAATAATGGAGTCTGGGCCAGACAATACAGTGATTGATATCATGAGCATCGATCCACGCAGTTGGGATAAGATGACATGCATCAACCAAGTCAGCAAGTCTGACCACCAGATCCCGTTAGTCGCCTCTTACGACAGGCATAGTCACCTTTTACGCCCCTTAAAAGTAAGCAGCGGAATCTGACGTAATTCAAAATTAACACATGGAATCTGTTTCGTCGGATAGTCGAGACTGGTTATTCTCTGATGTTTTATATTTTTATTTTTATTCCGCACACCGACCATAGCTTTTGAGTTATAAATGCGTAAAACACCAAATGAAAACAGATAGGCCTAAATGTTAACCAAAACGTCTCATCTTGATGCGGAACACAAACAGTATGGGTAGTCAACGGATGTCTAGACATGTTAGCACTGTTCATTTCAAATTCCTATTTTAGATTATGTTCGTTCGTTGTGCCAGTGATTGGGGCGTTTGGTCGGTTAATGTGGGGAAAACAAACTTTAATTGAACAAAGAGAGGGGGGTAGCGGATTCGTAACTGTTTTAATTAAATTATCACATGTAAATTTTAAAAGTAACTTTGCATTTGCCTTTGGCAATGTCAACACCCGTTAATCCGATTTACTACATCCCAACTATAATTAAGATTTTGTTCTCTCGTGTTGCTTCAGCGTTATCACAATTGTTATCGACACAGGAAATTAGTCCGTAGATATTATGCAAGAAATGACACGGAAAAGAAAACTGGAAACGTTAACACGATATTGGTCGATTAAACTAAACCTCTAGGAAATAGAAAGTATACACTTGAAATTTGGATTTGACAAAAAAAATACAAACGTTATCAAAACTTTACTTGGTTGAAAACATTGCAAACTTAAGGTCCGAAACAGAACTATTTTACCCGTATCAAATACATCACCATCGAATAACCATTTCTTGTTTGTTTCATTTTTAGCCACCATCATTTTTTTTCAGTGAATGGATGAAGTGGGTTCGTTGACCTACAGGTGTAGCTGAACCATATGTGAATTATCGAACCCTCTCTGACTACACTGTACAATATAAACTTAATATCTTCACAAATGTATTACTTGGACGAATTGCGTTTGTATACTTGCATGTGCATAGCAATGCAGATCCTTAAATTTTGCATTGTATTGACCTATTCATTATTGACATACAATTTATCATAATTATAATTCATGGACGCGTAATTCTCAATTTCATGTTCCATATATAACAGAACAAACGCCTCCAAGTCTATCGACGTATTTGGACTTCATTGACACAATAGTTTCACCGTATCAATCATCTTCATTTGTGAATGGGAATTGACGTATGCGTTGTGTGGCGGTTGTTATCGCATAACCGACACGTGAATACAAACCTTTAACCAGGTCGATTATCCGCCGAAACAGAATCCATTGAGCGTTGACGGCAAAATAGCGGTGAAAATGATACGAATGGATGAATGATCAGTAATGACACCAGGTGTTCGCGAAAAGGGCAAGCATGTCCTGCCCTACCGGTAGTACTCACACAATTTACAAGTATAAAAAAGTAAATGTTTGTTGTCTGAAGGCACACAGCTGTACTCCTGCCACACGACGGTGGCCTGTAAACACATCAGACAATCAAGTGATGGACCAGAAAACAACCCAGTCCCACGACTGCTAAATAAAAGCCACAAACCCCTTTCCATATTCATAAGAAATCTCTGAGTCTAGTGCACGATTCCAATATTATCATGAGAATGTGTTTACGAATCACTATTAAATCGTGATGATACCAGGTGTTCGCTAAAAGGTGAGTGTATCCTGCCCCACCGGTGGCACCCGCCCCAAACACATGCAAAGGCAAGTCAATTGTTCGCCTGAAAAACACACGTGAAAACATGGCACAATTCAAGATAGGTAATTGCATCGGACATCATTTTTGTCACTGATTTGAAATGTCCTCCCCATGTCTACCATAAAACTTTCTGAGAGCTTAAATGTCGTAATCTTGATCAAACAACTTCCGAGAAAGAGTCGTATGAAGCTCTTTGAAATCTTGGAAGAAAGAGAATGCTCGAATGAGCCTCAAAATTTGTGAAATGTAAACACCAAAGGCTGGAGCTACATATATACTGCTGGACATACAGGGCAACACATCATATGGATGGTCCATCTGCAACTGGGCACACTATATTAGTGCCCATGATGTACTAACGACAATTGTAGAACGATGCGAGTGATTATGAGTTAGTCGCGGTAAACGTCGTGTTAAAACAGTATTTTTTTTCAGTTACATAAAGTGACGCTGGCTACAGATGTTAACGACTTGGTGAAACGGACGAGAAATACCAATAAATGACATGATCGTCTTTCTACCATATACACACACTAATGTTTATAATTTGCCCGGGATGTGTAACACATGTGTATAGCAGTGTAACACATGTGTATAGCATCCTGACGTGTGTGTATATTCACTGATGATTTACCTGATACTTAGTGTAAGATTCCGGCGTAGAATAGTGTAATGTATATACACTTCTTGTCGTTAAAGGTGCGCTACGATTCTCTCAAATCGGCAGCGTTGCGTATTGGTGTGGTCGCATCCTCCTTCAATGTCAACCTTGACTTCTTCTAAAACGTCGCAAAATGACGCCACAGAAAAAAAAAACATCTCCCTGAACATGGAAACCAAGTACCTCACTCACTCTGAACATGACAACCCGTGTATCTCACTCACTCTGAATATGACAACCGTGTATCTCAGTCACTCTGAATATGACAACCGTGAATCTCACTCACCCTGAATATGGCAATCTGTGTATCTCACTCATTCTGAATATGACAGCCGTGTATCTCAGTCACTCTGAATATGACAACCGTGAATCTCACTCACTCTAAATATGACAATCTGTGTATCTCACTCACTCTGAAAATGACAAGCCGTGTATATCACTCACTCTGAACATGCCGACCAAGTATCTCACTCACTCTGAATATGACAACCTGTGTATCTCACTCCCTCTGAGAATGACAATCTGTGTATCTCACTCACTCTGAACATGACAATCTGTGTATCTAACTCACTCTGAATATGACAACCTGTGTATCTCACTCCCTCTGAACATGACAATCTGTGTATCTAACTCACTCTGAATATGACAACCGTTTGTCTCACTCACTCTGAATATGACAACCGTGTCTCACTCACTCTGAACATGACAATCTGTGTATCTAACTCACTCTGAACATGCCGACCAAGAATCTCACTCACTCTTAACATGACAATCTGTGTATCTAACTCACTCTGAATGTGATAACCGTGTGTCTCACTCACTCTGAATATGAAAATCTGTGTATCTCATTCACTCTGGACATGCCAACCAACTCTCTCACTCACTCTGAACATGACAATCCGTGTATCTCTCTCACCCTCAATATGACAACCTGTGTATCTCACTCACTCTGAATATGACAATCTGTGTATCTCACTCACTCTGAATATGACAATCTGTGTATCTCACTCACTCTCAACAGGCCGACCAAGTATCTCACTCACTCTCAACAGGCCGACCAAGTATCTCACTCACTCTCAACATGCCGACCGAGTATCTCACTCACTCTGAATATGACAACCCATGCATCTCACTCACTCTGAATATGACAACCCATGCATCTCACTCACTCTGAACATGACAACCCATGCATCTCACTCACTCTGAACATGACAACCCATGCATCTCACTCACTCTGAATATGACAACCTATGCATCTCACTCACTCTGAACATGACAACCCATGCATCTCACTCACTCTGAATATGACAACCCATGCATCTCACTCACTCTGAACATGACAACCCATGCATCTCACTCACTCTGAACATGACAACCCATGCATCTCACTCACTCTGAATATGACAACCTATGCATCTCACTCACTCTGAACATGACAACCCATGCATCTCACTCACTCTGAACATGACAACCCATGCATCTCACTCACTCTGAACATGACAACCCATGCATCTCACTCACTCTGAATATGACAACCTATGCATCTCACTCACTCTGAACATGACAACCCATGCATCTCACTCACTCTGAATATGACAACCCATGCATCTCACTCACTCTGAACATGACAATCTGTGTATCTCACTCACTCTGAACATGACAACCCATGCATCTCATTCACTCTGAATATGACAACCCATGCATCTCACTCACTCTGAACATGACAACCCATGCATCTCACTCACTCTGAACATGACAACCCATGCATCTCACTCACTCTGAACATGACAATCTGTGTATCTCACTCACTCGGAATATGACAACCCGTTTATCTCTCTCACTCGGAATATGACAATCTGTGTATCTCACTCACTCGGAATATGACAACCCGTTTATCTCTCTCACTCGGAATATGACATTCTGTGTATCCCACTCACTCGGAACATGACAACTCGTGTATCTCACTCACTCGGAATATGACAACCTGTGTTTCTCACTCACCCTAAACATGACAATCTGTGTATCTCACTCACTCGGAATATGACAACCCGTTTATCTCTCTCACTCGGAATATGACATTCTGTGTATCTCACTCACTCGGAACATGACAACCCGTTTATCTCACTCACTCGGAATATGACAACTCGTGTATCTCACTCACTCTGAATATGACAACCTGTGTTTCTCACTCACTCTGAGCATGACAATCTGTGTATTTCATTCACTCTGAACATGACAATTAATCTGTGTACCTCACTCACTCTGAATGTGACAACCGTGTGTCTCACTCACTCTGAACATGACAACCTGGTTGTTGCCATGTCATCACTGTTAAACGTCATCAATACGCTTAATAAAAATCGTTCAAGGAGACAAACTAGCTTTACCTAAGGAAAAACGTTGATAAATTTAACAATTTCACTGTACCCCGATAGATGGGACATTTACCACATTCGTCCTTATTACAGGCGTTTTGCTTAGGTAGGCAGTAAATTGCCATAGAAATGTAAACTATATAGTGCACACATCAGCACAATTAAACACGGGATAGGTGTCATGTATCAAAACTTCGGAAGTCAACAATGACCCGAGGTGATCTGGGGCACTTGAAAATAACGAAAACATCACTTACACAAGGTAATGTCATTTGCGCATGCGCGTGTTTAACGTGACAGGATCCAATGTGACGAATGTTGCACAGGATATGACAAGATCATCACAACATAATACCCCACGTGCACATATACATAGTTTTGTTAATTACATGGGACGAGTCTCGCAAGAAGCCAGTTCCTGGCCACATCGGAACGGCATCATCTGCAACTCCAGAAAGCGTTTCCCACAGAAAAAATCCGTTTATTTTGGTCTATAAGTCTAAACTTGAAAACTCAATCTAGTATTTAGACGCATGCTCGTGAATCCCGACCAATGAGGTAACAGACCTGTCCCAAAATAACGCGCTCGTGCGCTTCGAGATGGAGCTGGGGAGTGTGTGAGCGAGGCGATGTAACGCGACCTCCGTGGGAAAGCTTCGGAATGTTCTGCTCTGGTCTTTTTATAGCTCCTGATTGCTGTAGGTCTTACTCGTGTTTTCGGTTGTATTCGGGATAACACAAGGTGCTATGTTTAGCTGTGGGATCGTTACGTGTAGCCCCAGTGCTGGTGTGTGTCCGCAAAGAGCATAATGTATTTCAGGGTCTGAAGCTCACCTTTCGATTACTGGACAAAGTCCATTTCACTTTCGGTGACGGAATGTGCGCCGCTACCACTGAGTGATTGAATGACGATTAACGCCGCACCAATGTTCCGACTATGTGTCATGTGTCCAGTTACTCTGTCCTAGCAAAGAAGTGGATGACAGCATGAAGAACGTGTGTCATGTGTAATTGGGGCACGATCATACACCCGTAAAGATCCGGGGTAGAATAGGTCTTCAGTAAACCATGCTTGCCGTAAAAGGCGACTATGCTTGTTGTAAGAGGCGACTAACGTGATCGGATGGTCAGGCTCGCTGACTTGGTTGATGTATGTCATCGTATCCCAATTGCGTGGATCAATTCGCATGATGTCAATCACTGGATTGTCTGGTCCAGACTCGATTATTTACAGATTGCCGTCATACCGTTCGAATATTGCTGAGTGCGGCGTTAAACAAAAACAAACAAACAAACATGTACAACAATAGTCAGGATACATATTCCGAGGTAAACAACGTAATACGGCAGTTTTCATATGATTAAATATAGTATACCCGACACACTCTAAGTAATACATTACCCGAGTGTACATTCCCGCAAACTACATTCTAGTTCAGCCAGTTAAACAACGTAACAAGGTTGACGGAATATGGCATAATCTATTGACAGCAGTAGTACAATGGGAATATCTAATATATACACACAAGTATGAGTGAGTGAGTGAGTTAAATTTTACATCACATCGGCAATATTTCAGTCATATAGCGATGGGAACTAGGTATTAGATTTAAAATATCTATCGACAAAGGACAGGTATTGCCAAGGGCAATAGTAAGGTTTCTTACCTGAGTGAATATACAGTGAGTTTATTTGACAGCCACAGAATGATTTATGACTGTCTGTCGTCCGTATTTATATCTATTCTAGCTACTACAGATAATCTCATTAACTGTTTTAACTGGCGATAAAATTGTTTTGGGGAACTTCAGTGGCGCTTTCTAGATAGAATTGTATAACTTAGTTTGACCGAGGCATTGATGATAAAGGTGTTAATGATTCAAGTTTAGTAAAAATAATTGTTTACCAGCTACTAGTATGCAACGAATGTATTCATGGTGATTTGATAAGGGTAGATGATAAACAGCTGCAGATACAGATAAAGATATTTACTTCTTACATTTGTTTGCCAAACTCTTTCTGATCAGCACAATGTGATACTTATATGCGGCTCCTGTCTGATATGCGTTATCGGGTTGGTCCTTGGCAGACTAAGGGTAATGGATCGTAGTCGTTAGTTGTAATATTCCCTTAGTTCATAATCTCCAATTCTTAATATGTGGCATTTAACGTAATAAAATATTTATCAAACTTTGTCCATTTTCCCCATGTTAAAAGTTGTCTCCAGGACGTTCTTCATGTGTTCAGGCCAGACTTTTGTTGACGGTGTTTTTACCGAAAGAAATAAGTCTGTAGGTCTATCAATAGACTAACATTTAGTCTCTGAAATCTTATATCACACAATATCCTTCTTGACTCTAAAAATATATAAAAAATCCCTATGCTGATTTCAGAGGTAGCTTGAGCTGTCTAGACTTGCTTTTGTATACATTTCTAGATTATTTTTTTTTTCATAAAATAAATATATTCCACGGTCATGGTGCAGGACTAGTCTATAAAATGAAATAAAAAATATTCCAATTACAAAGATTTAGTTTGATTTCCTCAAAATGGTAAGAGTGGTTGAAGATAATTGTTTAACAGGTTTTAGTTATAGTATAAGTATAATTATATTAAATAATTAATTGCTTAGTGATAGCGACAGTACATGGAGGGTTTTTTAATCATTGAACACATTCTTTTTCAAGTTTTCGTTTTCAAATTTCACGTTTTTGGAGTCGACGGCTCATAAACCAAGATTTAGAAAAATGTCTGACTTCATTAGCTACATGCACACAGATCTACAGCTGAAAGGTTTGTAATCATTATTAGCTAGCAACAAAATTATATTTGTATATCCCTCTTTTTCAGGCAACAGAGTTGAATGTGAAAGCACTAGATATTGCCCAGAAGATTGGGAATAAGGTACGTATTCAATAACCCTAACTGTAAATTGTGTCCAGTTTATCACTGTAAGGTTTATAGTTCTCCATCTATAAGCTGTATACAAGATTATAAATGTCGGTCAAAAGAAACTATTCCCCTGAAAATTGGATTTTACCAACAAATTAAAAACGTTGTCAGAACGTTCCTTTGCTAAAAACAGTCGCCGAAACACGACAAAGTTAAGGTTCAAAACGCAATTACGAAACATCATGTAAGCCGAATATTTTCTTGTTTGTTTCAGTTTTAGCCACCATCAAACATTGGTGTATACTTTCTTTTGCCCGACAGTTCAGTTGTATGTCAATACAGGTTCAAGCGTCGTGAATTGCATCCTCTATCCTGAACCTAGAGTAACATTTCCTCAACTTATGTTGATAACGTTTCAGAATTTCTATGTTTTATCGTAGTTGGAGATGTTACGGTGCCACGCCAGACTGAGGACGTTGTACGCTGCCACTGGAGATGAAACCCTGGCCCATCGTCATTTCTCTGTTCTCCGGCAGTTGTTGGACGAGATGGAGCTCCTGTGTGGCGTCTGTGATGAAGTTGTCGGAGAGCGCCCAGAGAAGTTAGACGCCCTTCGCTGTGGGCACTTCATACACGGCCGGTGAGGAAATGCGGACATAAAGATATGAATTGTCAGTGCAAGAGAATAACCAGACTAGATTGTCTGCCGAAACAGATTCCCCTTGCCGTAGAAATTATATGAATGGTATGTTTGTTTGTTGTTTAACGCCGCACTCCGCAATATTCCAGCTATATGACGGCGGTCTGTAAATAATCGAGCCTGGACCAGACAATCCAGGGATTGAGATCATGAGCATTGATCCACTCAATTAGGATACGATGACATGCATCAACCAAGTCAGCGAGCCTGACCACCCGATCCTGTTAGTCACCTCTTACGACAAGCGTAGTCGGCTTTAACGGCAAGCATGGGTTGCTGAAGATCTATTCTACCCCGGAATCTTCACGGGTCCTTGTGAAATGTAGACACCAAGGGTTGGAGCTGCAGGAATATTGCTCGACATATGGAAAGTTGACTGTTGGAAAGTTTAAGTCATTCCTCTTGAGGGGAGTGTCTTTGCATAGTTTACTGGTATTTATACATTTTTTATTAAACATGATTTCACTGGACTTTCGGTGACAGCAGCGAAAAAAAATTCACTTTAAAATATGTAACAGCTTTTGAGATATCATCATTATGACGCATAATCGGACCACTGAAAATCATTGATGACACCAGGTGTTCGCGAAAAGGGTAGGCATGTCCCACCCTATCGGTAGCACCAGCCATTCATACAATTTGCATAAAAATAAGTATCTATTGCTTGACGCAGCACAGCAGTACTCCAGTCATGTAACGTCAGTCTGTAAACAAATCAGACAATCAAGTGATCGATGAACCAGAAAATCCAGTGATTTGTTGAAATTATGAAATTAATAAAAACGGTATGTAAAATGAAGCTTATTTTCAAAATGACGAGGTCATTTTGTTGTTTTTAAATCAATAAGCAAAAGAGCGCTAGCAATCGTGGCTGCAGTGCCTCAGCTAGGAAAGATAACTGACTCTTCTGTTGGTGTCCCGACAATCGGATTTCACAGAAACAAACGAAAACCGGATTTGTAAACCCGTCAAAACCAACCTCTACTGAGCTAGTGAATAGAAAGTCGACGACACGTCACATTTAAGTTTATGCTGAGAAGCGATTGTTTAGTTTCTCATGGTCTGTACGTAGCATGTGAGTTGTCGTATACTTTAATTCTCATTGGACAGGAACAGTGATATCTTTAAATACGGTAATTCGGGAACTCTAGTTTAATATATACGTTGCATGTGAGATGTGTGTGGAATATTTTGAACATAATAGACTGTCTATTGTATTGTTTAATCTACATTTAAGTTATATTTTGACACTTGGAAAAAATCATTGATTTTAATAACTAATGGCCCTTGGTATGTCGAGTGACGTCGTCTTGTTTATGTTTCAGATGCTCTGATTATCTCGCCCGGTCAACTCTCGGAAGGGCCGGAAAAACCCGACCATGCCCGGCATGTCGTCGGAAATCTTCGGAGAACCCCGCTTTGTACACGTGACAGGCATGTGTTGCCTATGAACTGCTGAAAATGACGTCAGGAAAACATGGCGTCCAGAGACAGGTCCTGACTGGAAGAAATAAACTCGACTGAAAATGCCTTAGAAAAAGTGAACATGCTTGCTTCTGGTATGTCTTAGTGCAGCTTCTCGCGAGATCCGTGCAAGACGTGACGTCATCTCGCGTGACCTGTGACGTAATGTCTGACTGCAAGTGTAAAGGACATATATTGACGTGCGTACGGTGTTGTATGACAAAGTATGTCATATGACTGAAATCAGACGTCAAATGAGACGTTTCCCGGAGACGAAAAGGCCAAATAACGGCGCCATGAGGGAAATTCGACCAAGTGTAAAATAAAAATATAAAACAAGTTACCCTGGAGTAGAGGAATCGGACCAGTTATCACCAGAAGTATTACAGATGGCAACAGATTAATCTGTTATAACGGTATACAGTTAAGACGTTATAGCAAAGACCCCGCTAACCCGGAAACCTCGTTTTACGGACGATTATTGTCAGATTCGTCTACCCGTATACACATGACATAACTCCTTAGTCCGGACAATTGTTAATCTTTACGCTTACATGCGGAATGCTATAGTCCGGATTGACGGGGTTTCATTGTGTAGGGAGCTATAAAAAGCCACAGTATGTGCGATATCCTTGAAGTACTTTGAACAGTTGTCGGGTCAGGAGACTAAGTACTATGCTAAACGAAATGTTACCTCGCGGGACAACGAAAAGGGACAATGGTTATATTATGAGTCTCCGAACATGGACACCTGAAAGATTATGGGTCTCCGACCATGGACACTTGAGAATTCTATTGGTCTCCGAACATAACACTTGAGAATATTATGGGTCTCCGAACATAACACTTGAGAATATTATGGGTCTTCGGGCGTGGACACGTGATTCTTTATGGGTCTCCGCACATGGATACCTCAAACGATTGTGAATCTCCGCATATGGACACCTGAAAGATTGCGGATCTCCGAGCATGGACACCTCAAAAGATTATGGGTCTCCGGGCAAGGACACCTAAAAGAATTATGGGTCTCCGAACATGGGCACTTACGTATATTATGGGTCTCCGCATATGGAGACCTGAAAAGAGTATGGGTCTCCTAACATGGACACTTGAGAATATAATATGGGTCTCATGAGCACACTCCGAACACAGCCAAACACACCAGGCAGCCATAACGTGTTACGATTATTGAAAGTGTATGTTTATATTAAATCCGTACATTGTATTTATAGACTTAATTCATTTGATTATTTATTTTGACATATTTCTTTCAAATTGTTCAAATATTTAATTTGAGTACTTTAGAAATGTGCCATGCACTTATCGAAACGATACTGGCGTTAACTCGAACGTCATACATGTACATGCAATTCGTGTAAGGGGGTGTAACATTGTCATCCTGGCAGTGGCTTTATCATCCCTGTAGTCTAATGTCAGCTTCATCTCGAACAGCCGACTCGACAGATCTTAAATGTTTCAGAAATTAACTGATTTATCGAATACATTTTATCTGTATTTCGACACAAAAGGAGACCAAACTGTTGATAAAGTCACAGGGTCAATATACCGATACAACGAAGATCAAGTTAAGACATTTTCACTCCATTTGCAAAATACAGGTATTGATAGTGGAACCAATCTAACATTCTCTGCAATTGCAGCTTCAGACCAAGTTTTATGGCACTAAGATTTGGCACACACACTTTCATGGATTTTACCAACATGAATGAGACTACTGAACCGTCTGAGAACAGACTTTCTACAGACAAAACACTTTTCACAGAATGAGAATCAACTACCCTTCCGTTCGGCAGCTGGATCACGTGATCAGCACGTGCCTCATTTACATATTATTTGATATATTTCAGTATATAGTAAATACAAACACAAAGTATTATATTTTTAACTACGAAATTAAATCGAAGAGTATATGTTTACTTTGGTATGACTTTGTTGTTGCGTCTGTGTTTAGTGTTGTGTGGAGGCAGTTGAAGCGTATATCTGTGTCACGGCAGACCGTTTCTCCACAGTTTAGTTTATGATTTATATATGGCCTTATTTATTTGAATATTAGTATGTGTAGAAGAATCTGTTTGTGAAATCATTGTTGTCTTGTATGTATAAAGTACACATATGCTTTGAGTAAACATGACTGATGTCCAACGCTTTTGTCTCCGTGTTTTAATTCCCTTTTTTTCTGTTTTATCAAGTGAACAATTGATTTGCCTTTGCATGTGTTTGTGACGGGTGCCACCTGGTATCGTCACTATTTGATCGTGACTCATAAAAATGTGTTCATGATATGCTGTTGTCGCAATCCGAAAATGGACTATGTTTTTAGAAGAGAATTATTATGTTTTTGTCGCTTTTATTGACAGTAAACTACTGTTATAACGAACTTGGAGGTTTCACTTATTTAAGTTCGATACAACCGTAGTTCGTTTTAAGCATATGAACAGCATATATACAGCTAATGGTCGTGACCAAAAAAATAAATTCGTTATATCCGTCAGTTCGTTATGAGCCTGTTCGTTATAAACGTGTGTGTGTGTGTGTGTGTGTGTGTGTGTGTGTGTGTGTGTGTGTGTGTGTGTGTGTGTGTGTTTTATGGTGCTAGTTCACTGAGATATCATGCCGCAGTTTAACATGGATGTCTGACCTGGTGAGGTGAGGTGAAATAGGGTTTAACGTCGCGTGCACGATTATTGCACTTATATAGTGACGTGTGTGTGTGTGTGTGTGTGTGTGTGTGTGTGTGTGTGTGTGTGGTGCTAGTTCACTGAGATATCATGCCGCAGTTTAACATGGATACCCTACTCAGACACAGTATAGTGACTCCGAGCAGACCAGTCCTTGTTTTAGCCCCTTAATGCCGAGCGCCAGACAGGGTAACAAGGACTATCGTTTTTTATCGTCTTTTGGTATGACGCGGCCGGCATCGAACCACCGATCTTTCTCACCTCGGGCAAACGTTCCATCCACTAGACCACGGTCGCGAGGCCTGTACTCTTGTTGATTCATGTTCACACTGTCAACCACTAGTTTGTTTATGTTTTAAGGGATAGGTACATCGCAATCCCAAAATTAACTCCCATTAAACCGTTGACTACCAAATAGAATCATTTTTAATGTTAGTACCAACTCGCGTGAACACGTCCCGTGAAGCTATGGGTATTATATGAGCGCTTCGACCACTTGGACCCACTCGCCTGTACACTTCTTATAAAGCCATGGGTATTATATGAGCGCTTCGACCACTTTGATCAACTCACGTGTACACTTCTTGTGAAGCTATGGGTAGTGTATGAGCGCTTCGACCACTTGGACTGTATTCCAGTCACATCACGGCGTGTCAGGTTAATGTGGGAGAGAGCCCGAAGTGATGCAGATCTCAGACGTTTACCACTTCGGTGAAACCCACGAGCACGGGTATGGTGCTGACAAACCTAAAAACATAATCGGGGCGAATCGGGATTCGAACCCACAACCATAGGTTTCTGGCGTGCCCAAGGGACGCAACTCTGCACAGCGAATCGCGGCGCCTTAGACGACTTGATAATTAGATAATATAGCGACGTGTGTGTGTGTGTGTGTGGGGGGGGGGGGAGGCATAGTCTTCCGCCATGATTAAACTACAAAAAACAACATTTTTAACGAACACGCTTATAACGAACTGACGGTTATAACGAACATTTTTTAGTCCCGGCCTTTTAGTGTATATATGCTTTGTACACGCTTATAACGAACTGACGGTTATAACGAACATTTTTTAGTCCCGGCCTTTTAGTGTATATATGCTTTATACATGCTTATAACGAACGACGGTTGTAACGAAATAAAATGAGTGGTTATTTTGAATTCGTTATAACCGTAGTTTACTGTTGATAATTGCGGATTACGGAGTAATATGAAAAATTAGGATGTTCTGTAACTTGTTTGTTTTGTTTGTTTATTTGTTGTTTAACGCCACACTCAGCAATATTCCAGCTATATGACGGCGGTCTGTAAATAATCGTGTCTGGTCCAGACAATACAGTGATTGACATAGTGAGCATCGATTCATGCAACTGTGATACGATGACATACATCAACCAAGTCAGCGAGCCTGACCACCCGATCCCGTTAGTCGTCTCTTACGACAAGTCGACTTTTGCGCAGTCGACTTTTGCGCCAAACATGGGTTGCTGAAGACCTATTACCCCGGATCTTCACGGTTCAAAAAGCTTTAGAAGCGAATTGGTCCAGGATATTTATCAAAATAGAAAGGAGTTTGCACATGATTTTCGGGGATGGTCCAACAGTATTACAGTATATCACAACGTAATGAAGCCGAATCCATCATATACGGGGGGGGGGGGGGGGGGGGGGGGGGGGGGCGCAGTCGTCTAAGGCGCCGCGATTCGCTGTGCAGAGTTGCGTCCCTTCGGCACGCCAGAAACCTATGATTGTGGGTTCGAATCCCGATTCGCCCCGATTATGTTTCTAGGTTTGTCAGCACCATACCCGTGCTCGTGGGTTTCACCGAAGTGGTAAACGTCTGAGACCTGCATCACTTCGGGCTTTCCTCCCACATTGAGCTGACACGCCGTAATATAACTGGAATACTGTTAAAAGCGGCGTTAAACCCAACTCACCCACACTCACTCCATCATATACATACCAGTGATTGATAATGTGAACAACAAGCTTTGTCTTGATGGTTCCACAAAGTCACAGCTTCAAATTTCTATTTCTTTGGGAACTTGCGACCTGGAACTGATCACACATACAGCTAATATGACTGTGAGATCCCTCCTTTATTTAGCTCATATACAGGATACCAGGGACATGTACACTGCCGGGCAAAAGAAAGTAATACCCATGTAGCTAAAACGTAAACAAACAAGAAATGATTATTCCATGGTGATGTATTTGATGTACGGGTATCACAGTTGTGTTTTGGACCATAAGTGTGCAGTTTCAGCGACTATTTTCATCCAAGAAACGTTTGTAATTTTCCATTCCAATTTTCAAGTGTATACTCTCTTTTGTATGGCCCGGTATCACCACGTGTATGTCGTAAATTTGCATGTGATGGTGCATGTAGTATTATTGGACTGGATGAAGCTGGGGTCGTTGTGGTATAGAGTACTACCGAAACGTACACTGAGATATGTAGCTTTACCACATTCTGAATATTAAGACAGTAAACCCTTTTTTGAGGCACGAATTCCGCAAAGGACGAACCCGTTTTATTTTCCGTCTGCAAAAGAATTTGTTTCGAGCGTTGACGTAAAGGGGTTGCATGTGCACAGCTATAGCTGTAGTGCCCTGTACAACTCTACACGGGGGCATGGGTGGCCCAGTCGTCCTTAGCGCCGCTATTCGTTGTGCAGAGTTGCGCCAGAAACTTATGATTGTGGGTTCGAATCCCGGTTCGCCCCGATTATGTTTCTAGGTTTGTCAGTACCATACCCGTGCTCGTGAGTTTCACCGAAGTGGTAAACGTCTGAGACCTGCATCACTTCGGGCTTTCCTCCCACATTAAGCTGACACACCGTGATGTGACTGGAATACTGTTAAAAGCGGCGTTAAACCCAACTCACTCACTCACTACAACTCCATACACAGCCTGCGACCGTGTTGTAGGCCACCCTGGGGGCTACTGCAGCAACATTACGCCGATGCCACTAACAGTCTTCGTCACGTATTGAACCCGTTTTAGGAATCGATTCGGTGAATACTTCATCACGAGCAAACTTGCCACTTCTACATCCCTTGGTATTATAATTAGAAAACATTAACCCCAGGGAATAATCTGCCGAAACAGATTCCATTGGGTGTATCAAGAAAACTAGACTAAGTAAAGAAGAGAATTTATGGATGTCAACTTCTTTATTGTGAGGAAACACATCGTTTCGGAGTATATGCTTACTCCTTCATCAGGCGAAAGCATGCTATGAGGGAGAGAGCATATATATATGAGACTGAGTGAGTGAGTGAGTATGGTTTTACGCCGCTTTTAGCAATATTCCAGCAATGTCACGGCTGGGGACACCAGAAATGGGCTTCACACATTGTACCCATGTCGGCGTGACGAGCGACCGCATTAACCACCCGACCGCCCGGCATATATATGTACATGTAAGGACAACAACAAAAGTAATAAGATAACAAAAGGTGGAAACTAACAAGGGAGGTCGACAGATAATTGCCGCTGATGGGTGATTAGCAAAAGACAATAGAAGCCAACACTTTACAGTAATTAGCGCGGATGGTTATGGACAACTGGAAGCCAGCCTATTATACTCCGAGACGTTGTGTTTCCTCATAATAAAGAAGTTGACATCCATAGATTCTCTTCCTTATGTGCATCACTTCTAAATGCCATTCAAAGACAAGAAAATTAGTGATGAAAATTATATGAATGGATCACCGAAAGTCAGTGATGACACCAGGTGTTTGCAAAGAGGGTAAATAAGATGACGAGTGGTCGGGTGTTTGGGGGTGGGTGTGAGTGCGCGTTCTTATCTTTAAAACGTTCAGATCTACATAGACACATGCTTGTTGGTTTGGTAGCTAATAACATAATAATGTTAATTATACACATATGCTGATATTAAATAAAGATGACATAATGACAAGACCTTGATATTGTTTATTTTGAAATATAATCCTCAATTTACATGTAATCATAATTAACAATGAGATCAACGAGACAGATGTATCCTTTAAAACACGTGATAAATAGTGTCATACCTGGTAAATAAATAAACAAGGCTAACACACTTGGTCGTTTGATTTGACTCTCTTGTTCTGGATATTTGCTGAGTAGACATATCCCCAAACTCTCTCTACAGACATTGAACAGATTCGTATTTCCGTGGCGCGTTCTTCATAGTCGTTGTTAAGAAGCATATAACATGGAAACATTATAATTATATAAATATATATGATAGCTACGCGATAAATCGCAAAGAACAGTGAAAAACGAAGCGTGGTTTAGTTCACGATAAAACATTGTTCTATCATGACGTCATTTATGAAGATTCGAACATTCGCTCGCAACTTGATGACGTTGTATTTTTGACGACGTTATTTTTGAGAGGGGAGTGTCTCGTGAGTTGTTCCCCATAGAGGCAGCTGGGCAATGTAAACGCTATGGCCGAACGATCGCTTCTAAAACATGGAGAGATATGACAATCGGTACAGGAGAAAAGGTACAGGTAATTGACGTGAGGATTGTGAGAATGTGTGAGAAATACACACCTGTGCATAAAATGGACTTGTCCGACGTTGCCGCGGTCGGATTCTATTGAGTCATCATTATTTAAAGCTTGTACATTTTATCAACATCCTTAAAGAGGCTGTACATAGTGTTGATATCGCATTTTAGAAATAAACGACTTGTGGTCGTTGTCCATCGTACAATAAAACATTTTATTGTACGGTAAACAACTCCCATTCGTCGTTTTTTCTTAAATAAATGCTTATTATTACCCATAGGGTTAGAAATAACCGAGTTAAAGAGAAAATCATGACATTCTCATACTGATATAACGGGATTCTCGCTCGGGAAGTTCAAGAATTCTGACACTCGTTTCGTAAAATCTGTATGACACACATACTCGTAGAATAATCTCTATTTATTAAGTAACAATTCTTCTTAGTGACATTCTTTCAAGGGATGAAAACGTGTATGGAAGCAAGAACAATTAAAGTATTTTCAACAATCGTTACGGCTCTACTCAAGTATTCATATGTACGGATTTTGTTGGCTCAATCATTTTACAATAAGTTTAAATTCCGGCGTGTAGCTTCTTTCATAAACTCTGTAAAACTCCACTTCAAATTCACTTCACATTGCGCACTGCCACACCAATCCACCCAGTGTTCGATTGTTTATCTTGAAGATTATCTTTTCGTCCCATGTAACGTTTTGCAAATCAGGAAGGTGTTTTTTTATATAGTGACACAATCCACAACTATCAATCTGCCCTCTGCCAAAGACGAGTAGGAAGCACTAAGTCTCGCAACAATCCAATCTTGATTATCCAGGTTATTATATCGCCATTCTATTCTGATAAATACCCCAGATCATTGACCACCATAGCCTCGTTCTGAGAAATACACAACGGTGAAATTAGTGAGTGAGTTGTGTTTAACGCCGCTTTTAACAGTATTCCAGTTATGTCACGGCGTGTCAGCTTAATGTGGGAGGAAAGCCCGAAGTGATGCAGGTCTCAGACGTTTACCACTTCGTTGAAACCCACGAGCACGGGTATGGTGCTGACAAACCTACAAACATAATCGGGCGAACCGGAATTCAAACCCACAATCATAGGTTTCTGGCGTGCCCAAGGGACGCAACTCTACACAGCGAATTGCGGCGCCTTAGCCGACTGGGTCCCCTGTCACGTGCCCCCTCCCACACACGCACACACCCCCCGCTGTGACGTTTGTGAATAGGTCCAGGGTATTTGTCATAATATAAATAGGGACATAATACACTGTATCATCGAGGATGGTATGTACTGTGTCTTTTGGTACCTATAATTATCACAGTCACGTTCGGACAATGGTCTTTGCCTTGAGCACAGGTTTCCGTATTACAAACAACTCCCGTAGTCATGAGTTATGTGGCACCGTTGGGTTTCCGTAGTGGGTAGTCTTGCATGAAACTCGCCACTCTAACCTGTACCCTGCTGCGGGCGTTTTCATTGTCCCTCATCTTATCGTCTCTAGCCAACTGCCTTGCCGCCGTTATAGACATCGGCGACGTCTGATTTCTAGTCAGATGGTTCCTCCAATCAACTGCTGACATCGTTGGACGCCTTTGGTTAAGGATCTCCGACAGTCGAGCGTTTCGTCCAGGTGATGGTGAGGCGGATGACCGGCGTGGGGGGTAGAGATTCGGGGACGGGGATCGCGACGGAGCCGGGGAGAGGGATACTGTGGAGGAAGGCATGTCGTTAAAGGCGCTGTGTCTACGAATAGCTTGGGGGAGGGCCCGGCGAGGATCCCTTCTTTTCGCGGCTTGTGCTCGAAGAATCTTTTTGGTAATGTCAGATGTATCCCGTTCCCATTCATACTTGGGAGTAGCACGGCCACAACTAGAAATCTCAGTCCTTTCGGAACCAGAATCCGAATGTCTGTCCGATTCGTCCCCGCTAGAAAGCTGAAACGTCATTGTCGGACGTCGACGTGAAGGGGTGCTTTGAGGTCGGGGCGGAAGTGACGTCATGGAATCAGATACAACAGAGGACACACTTTCCCTTCGGTTGCTACTCCTATCCATCGCCGACTGAGGCCGTTTGAACCTTCTAGCACGTCTACTCACAATTCTTTCACCGTACATAAAGCAAGGCTCATTGTCCTCTTCATCAGATTCATCCTCAGACTCGGATTTTAGTTTCTCCTTCTCTGGGGACATTCCTTCCGGACTCTTCCCGCTGGAAGACTGGATGTAGTCCAAAGACACGGACACCATCCTGATGTCCTGATTGGTCAGCCTTGTCTGGTGGACCTTCTGTTTCTCCAGGAGATGGAGCGTCCCATGAAGACGGCTCTGCTCAATGCCGTTGATGCGGTAGGCACGCTGGACACGAGAGCTGCTGTAACTGGGGTTTTCCCTGGCTGGCATAGTGGCTTTATCCAAAACAATAATCAAAGCGATATTTCAAATCTGCTGATTTCCAATGACGTTTGTACCTTTAGAATAGCAGGTGGATGAAATAAAGGAACAAGCAGCGGCTCCGTCAGGGTAACCCTTGATATCCATTTTCAACATACCGTTAAGGTAAACACGTGCGTTCAGATGACCCACTAGTGTACATGGGTGGTTCTCATGGTGGTTCTGTTCACAGAGACGTTTGTCTTGTTGGTTGTGTTGGTATTACCAAAGTCTATTGAAAACGTACCATGTGTGAATACTGAAACGTTGCGAATGCATCTGTGTCAACCGCGTGCTGGGGACTGAAGCAGCTGACCCATGCAAAACGAAATCCAGACGTCTGTTCCAACTCTGTCCAGCGCCAGATCTTACAGCACAGGTCACACCTGTCAAGAAAAGAGGCTTACAATGTATGGACATTAGTGGCAAAATACAAACGAATTAACGGGTCAATACGATCATGTCAGTCTTAGCAGCACGGGGGTGTTGTGTTATTATGGATTATGCATTATGCCAGATTCATAAGCAAAGAGCAGGCTGTTTTCTGGATGGCCACACGGGGTTAAGTCCGCCTAAGCATATTAAACGCACGAGGTTGTGATTATGAAGTTATTAAGCATATGAAAAATGGTTTTCCGACGTAACAACAGCTTGTTGGCTGGACACTTGAATGTGTTTGGCATGACTTCAAGCAGAGTTGTATGTCGACGGGTTTTAAGGCGTTGCAGCGTAAAGCGTGTGTACATCCGCTGAATATTCAGTTCTCCTGTTTTGTCCGTTTTCATATATCTTTGATATATATTCTTCTGTTGAATGTGAACTTTTATGGTTAACACTTTAGTGAGTAAATGAGCTTAGTTTAACTCTGCTTTCAGCGCTGTTTCAATTGTTTACACGGCGTGTGAGGTTAGCGTTGGAAGAAAGGGGTGAACGTTTTAGACCTTCACGGCCCTATTGAAATCAAGCACAGGTAAAATAATGAAAAACCGAGTATAATAATCAGACCCAGTTTGGGATTCAAACCTACAATCAACAGTTTATCGAACTCTAATAGTAAAATAAGTGTTTAAAACCATTGCCCTTAGAGCTTTAATTATTGGCATTTTAAGGACAAGGTTCAGTATGTCTTACGCCTCGTTACCAATGTGTAAAACCAAACCCTACCTTCTGCATAATAAGTAAATGCGGCAAAACCCTTTCAATGGCCACAATAAATCTCTGAAAAAAGCCGAGTCGAGTGTACGATTCCGACCATATCATAAGCAGGTGTTAATGCATGACTGTCAAATAGGGAGGATACCAGGTGTTCGCAAAAGGGCACCTGCCACAAACACACGCAAAGGCTAGTCAATTGTTTGTGTGAAACAACACGGGAACATGTAGCACAAGTCAAACTAGGGAATTGCATCGGACATACCTTTTGTCACAGATGCATCAATTTAGAAATTTGGAATTATTTTGGCACAAACGCTTAAATCACTTGGACATCTAACGCCACGTACTTTAGTCCAATTCTATATATCAAGATAAACATTTGACTCAGATTAGGTCTAATGATTCAAATTGAAAAAAGAGGTTTGTGCGAGAGATAAACCGGTAGACACAGTGCACAGAACTGGTGGCTACTTAAAGACATTATGTCTGGCCTGGGATCACTATGTCAGTCATATCTAGCACAAACGCTCTACACAGGCAGGGATTGATGGTGTACGGGAGCAGTTCGACTGGCTATATCAACAGTCAGTGAAAGGTAGTCACTATTAATGATGGTCGTATCAAGATCGATTGTCACAATACATTGGCAACCCACAACGGCTGTCGGGACAAACATATACACGCTTAATAAACTCTTATCACGATGGCTAATTGATACAAGCGGGTGACTGAGAACCTGAGTATGGAGGCACGTCAGTGGGTTTCTATATACAACGTAGTTTTGTGGCAGTACACAATCAACTAAATAGGATTTGCGCTCATGCATGAATGAGGAAACAAATACATGAAAAAGAAAGAGAGAGAGACACACGCAGAGAGAGCGAGGGACAGAGAAAGAGTGAAAGAGACAGGGAGAGTGGGGAGAGAACAATTGACGGATAGAATGAGGTGAGATTAGGTGAAATTGGGTTTAACGTCGCGTCCAAGATTATTGCACTTATATAGCGACGTGCATGTACGTGTATGTGTTTGTGTGGCTGCTTGTACTAGTCCGGACTGATGCCGATTTATAGTGCTGAGATACCATGCCGCAGTTTAACATGAATACCCTACTCAGACACAGTATACTGACTCCGAGCCGACCAGTCCTTGTTTTAGCCCCTTAATGCCGAGCGCCAGACGGGGTAACAACAAGTACCATCTTTTAACGTCTTTTGGTATGACGCCGCCGGGGATCGAACCCCGGACCTTCCGCTCGTCGGGCGGACGCTCTACCACTAGACCACGGAGGCGGTCACGAATAGAATGAGGAAGACGCTTTCAGCAATGCTGCCCAAATGGAGACAGAAGTTGTTGGGCCTATTCCCGGATCAAACAGCACATAGTCAAGAAAACCCAGGACCACAAGCCACGGTCATAACAATTGCGTTTCGCATCGAACATCGGATAGGTCTTATATTTTGACTATAAAACCACTAAGAATAAACTGCCAAGGCTCATTAAATGGGGACTGGGAGTTTAATAATCATGTGTCCATATGTGCACCGTCTACAACAATGAAGGCTGGCCCTGAAATTGAAACACTTGTTAATTAACTGTTTACTTGTTAATGAATCTACTGGAATATCACATACTACTCGTAGCTGCGGTACCCGTATCTCTATGCTGCGCCCTACAAACGATTGGATTGTGGCTTGTCGCTACACTGAGCTACTGACTGTCCCATAGCGTTTTCCTCATAGATTCCCGATTCGGAACATACCACAGAGGGTAGCTTGATTTTGTTTTAATGTATGGTGAGTTCAAAAGGAGAGCCACATCTCAAATGTACGTCTGTAACTCCTTTAAATAAAAGTGGCAAAACCCTGTCCAGAATCATGAGGTATATCTGCTATAATCAGAGTCCATTGTCAGATTGTACGATTCCGATATATAATCATTATGTTTATGGATCACTATCAAATAGTGATGATACCAGGTGTTTGGCGACAAGAAAAGCGCATCCTGCCCCACGGTTTACACAAGTCACAAACACATGCAAAGGCATACACAAATAAGTGTCAGAATTTGAATTCGAAACTTGAATTTGTTAAACCCATAAACACAAAATATACATAAATCATATTGTTTGATGTAAACGAGTCGATGTTAGCAAATAGAGACAATGGTTCACACATGACCCAAATAACGATATTAAGAACTGGAGCAGATCTTGGAGCAGATGACGCCTTGTCTCTCATTCTCCAATCTGTTTAGTTGGTGTAATTGTATACATTCGACGCGCCATAATCACGAATGTTAATAGACTATGCAACAACACAACTTGCTCTATTGACTAAAGTAAGCCCTAGGATGCCGGGCCCTGTTTAAAGGACCCGTAAAGATTCCCGGGTAGAATAGGTCTTCAGCAACCCATGCTTGCTGTAAAAGGCGACTATGCTTGTCGTAAAAGGCGACTTACGGGATCGGGCGGTCGGGCTCGCTGACTTGGTTGATGCATGTCATCGATCCCAATTGCTTGGATCGATGCTCATGATATTCATCACTGGATTGTCTGGTCCAGACTCGATTATTTACAGACAGCCGTCATATAGCTGGAATATTGCTGAGTGCGGCGTTAAACAACCAACCAACCAACCTGTTTAAAGATTCCCCCTAGAGTTTTTAATAGGTGACTTGGGTCACACTTAGACACTGCCGCGTCTTAGCTGCAACGTGTGACATAGATAATACATTTGGGAAATCGATTTTTGAATGACTTGAATCAAACTCGCTAGGACTACATGTGCAAGTTGGCCCAGCCTAGAGTCACCTCGTCCCTTCCTATAGGGCAGCGTAACCTACCTGTCTGAACAGCGTCCCGTGTGATCACTAAAACAAAGTGTCCACAATACTCCCTCTGTCCATTCCACATATGCTGACCACACGCCGCTCACTGGGCAATAGGGTCGACCTGACACTATACGACTTCTGTGAGATAACGGTGGAGCTGGGCCATACTCAACTGACGTCTTATACGTCCACTACACAACTCTCACTCATGTGAGCTATTGGCGGCACTAAGCCCTCTTATTGATAACAGATCGATCAAATATCGACTTTGTTATCTCTGACACTTGAAGCAGGTGCGCGTTCGCTAAACGTCCCCACTCGAGACGTTTAACTGGGGGTGGGTAGTAACGCCGGTATACGGATATGCAGTTTGAATAAATTGGCAAAGGTTGACGTAATGGATTATGGAAATCGAGAAGAATAAATTCGGCTTGATAATAAAGACATGCCTATTAAGCCTACTGAGTTTTCGATTTTTAGACTCTTTCAGTGACCTTGATGCTTGGATTGCGTTTAAAGCCGTTGGCGTTGCATGAAAATCTACATAAAAATAGCTTGTGTGGGTAATAGCGTGAATGATCCGACAATAAAATGAATCGGAATTGGGGATATATTAAATTGATGACGGGGAATATGAAATTGATGACAATGCATGACTGACGAACGGGAGTGTTTGCACTCATTTTATACAAAGCAGGCACCACGCATGGGTATAACCATTAACTCAGCATTAACATTTCAAAAGAGATTGTTAGCTGAAACTGATTCGGATGTTAAATAATTGCCGGTGAGGTTCTTTAATAACATACAGAGCAGGGTAATGTAGGTTGTGTTGGGCTTTTTCTTTCTTATTATACCCCGCATTTGCAGTATTCAAGTATATTTGCGTTCACAAGAAATTATTGAAGAGAGTAAGAGGGTTTACTCAGCTTTCAGCAATATTCCAGCAATATCACAGTGGGAGATATCTGAAATTGGCTTCACACATTGTACCTATGTCGGGAATCGAACTCGGGTCTTCGCTGTGGCAAGCGAACGCTTTAACCACTTGCCTACTCCACCGTTCATTGTAAAAGTAAATATTGAAGTCAGGGCGAGCTAAACCAGTGGTGTATGCTATGAGCAACGTCATCGGGGTAGGAACACACGATATCAACAAAAATACCGACCACCTGATCGATCCAATTTAGTAGCCTTTTTTCGACAGACAATAGATGGGGATGTATTCTAACTGGGGTTTCTTCGGGGCTGAATATATGTAAGCTGTTTATTGTTTAACGCCGCACTCAGCAATATTCAGGTAACTGTAAATAAGCAAAGATGGACCTGACAAACCAATGATTAATATTATTAACAGCGACCACCGCTGTCAGGGTACGATTAAACGCACGTCACTGAT